TATTGTTATTTCAGTAAAAGTAGTTTGATTTTATACATATATACATCAGGCATCCATGCTTAATACTATACAGAGTTGCAGCACCATTAACAGCAGGACACAATGACTAAGATTCAACTATGGATTGTTTTGTATTTACTGAGAGGGAAACAATACTTCTTTTATTTTTCCTTGAGGATTTGCAATGTTCCTATTTTTATTTATTTAAACAATTTCTTGAAAATAAATCAGAAGTAGGCCTAACGATCAAGTACAATATTAATTAAAGATGAAGTTTGAGAGCCTCAACGTGATTGTTGAGGCTCTAAAAATCTGCAAAGTTTAAAAAGAACTGGGGATAATTTTTCTAGAGTCACTAACAAATCTCAATGAATCAGAGTTGAACCAGTTGTTTTTGAGATAAGATTTCTGGGGGTAAGTATTAGGGTCTTTGGTGGCGGCGTGTTACTACGACGTTGTGAAAGACAAAACGTTTAATCAAGTCAAAGAGATCTTCCAAGTTAATGAAAACCACTGTAACGATGCATTAACAGATATAAACTTTGTTTTGAAGTAGAGGAGGCTGTTTATTTTTAACTATGTCAGAGGGCGCTGTTTTAGAGCTGAGGTTTCTTAGCTGTTTGTGTCAAAGTTACGCTCTGTAACTCTGTACTCGTTAAGAGTAAAAGAAAGATGGTATAAACGGTGAAATGTATCCTTTTTAATTAACCGAAAACGAGTAGAAAAACCAGTCCCCGAAACTGAAGGAGCAGCCCCCGAAACTACAGTCCCGGACAAAATTGGTTGGACACTTGGCAACAGTCATACGCTCTCCAGACGCTATCCCCACCCCCCGGTCAATGTCGTCCTGTCCAGCCGGAGCACAGGCCGCGCGCATAGACCCAATATTGTGTCTTCCGTGCCGCTTGGCGCGTGTTTTCTGGCGTGGAAAACAGAAATGACAGCCGGCTGGACAAATGTATATTTCTGGCAAAGTTTACTAATAAAAGCAAGATAATTATCTATTACTCCCAGAAAAACGAAGTAGTCCGACAAGCAAGTTGTGTTTTTGGACAGCGGTGCTACCTTACTGGCTAGCAAAGTTGATCAGTTGTATGGGTCCACCGCTGTACTTACGGTAGGAATAGTTGTTTGGCCACCGCTGAACTTGCGGAAGGCAAAACTCTAACAGTAAAGAGAAAATTGTTGTGAATTTCAACAATGGTTAACTTAAACGATAAACAATCTCACGGCTTAACTTCAAAGTTGATGCTGCGAGTCGTTCTCCCATGCCATTTTCGCCAAACGTGCAAAGCGCCCCCAAAATGGGAAGACGATGGGTAGCCCTGGGCCCCTCCCCTATGAAGAACACACTGAATCACCGGTCACCAGAATGAATGCAAATTGTGAAACCAATCAAAAGAAAAATGTGGGCGCGAGGAGTGTGATTCCAAACCTACTACCTACCGAATGGCACCATTAGTTGGTTGAGCGCCGTTTCCGTTCAGCACGACAGGAAAGAGTGCAAAAGCATGCGCGGAGAAGAATGTCCCACACACTACTCTTGTGTATAGCATTCGGAGGACGCATTCCTATCCTACCTGAAAGTTGCACTCGCGCCCCGAATGCGAAGGAATCTGCTTGAAGCAAAATGTTTCCACCTCGGCCTACGTGTACTGTGATCAATCGACGAGGTGGTGCCCGTGATAATAAGAAAGTGGAAGGCTGCTCCCTTCTAATATGGCATTAAATCGATACCGAATAGGGTCATCACTTATATACACTGCGCTTGCGGTACAATCTAAAGATCACATTAAGAAATATTTCCAAGTACTAATCTAACCAATTCTACAAACCGAATTTACATTTGCCTTTTCGTTTCAGGCTGTGATACTAGCTAGTCTGGAACCGGTCATATCTGGCCGCAAATCGGAACATTTGTATTTCGTGCACAGTCCGCGATGCTAACCATAAGGATATAACTGGGCCTCCGGTGCCCTAAACAATTAACCTGTTGAAAGATATTTGATAGTTTTTGATGTGTTAGTGGGCTTCTTGCACGTTAATAATATGTAATGTAATTTAAATAAGATTCCCTCGTGTTTGTAAAAGGAAGACTTTAGTCTTTGGAATAGTTGGGTGACATGTAAACGAAAGAAACTACCATCAATCAACCAATCCTTTGCAAGCTTGCCAACCATTCATCAGGGGAACTGAGCGAATGTGGGGTGCTACCATGAACCTTGGCAGCTGAACTATGACAATTGGGGGACCTTGCCTTCATCCCGTATTTGGCACATGTACAGCAAGCCCAAGTTATTCATTACATCTGTTCATCCAACAGCTCATTTATAGAAGGTGAAGTGCTAAGTAAGAAGACAATGAAGAAATGGTCGGTTTTAGTGGTGGGAGGAAAACTCAGAATGAATACCACAGAAAACCCAAGGAATCAGGAACTAAAAACCCAATCCACATACTGACCTAGGTAGGATTCGGACTCGGGTCGCAGAGGTGGAAGGCGAGGAAAGAACAACTACACTAACCTGACTCACCAAATTATTGGCACGTTAGCAAGCCAATTACCGCATACAAGACAATATGGGTTCTAGGATGGGCCTTGCCAAGTCTGATTGACGAAGAAAAGTTCCCACTATGACAATAAATGTTGCAACAAAAGAACTTATGAAACCATTTTGTTATTCATGGGAGCCACTGTTCCTGTAACTAAGAGAGTTCTTAAATTCAGGGCGTACCTTTGGTAACTATAGGAAGCCATTAGAATTAACGCTTCTCGGCTACCTACCACAAAACACATTGCTCACCCGAAATGATGAACGAAGCACTTCCAATCTTTATAAAAAACTAAGATCATAACAAGACCAGGGGGGAAATGGACCCTTAATCTTTCTACAAGCAACTTTTTGAAATGAGTTTGAAGTTATGAGGATATCATTGTGCAAATAGGTGAGCTTTGGTTAGGAACGTCTTGCTCCTTGCTGCGTGCTTCCAAATACTGTTTCATAAACTTCACGCATTCAAATGAAACGCTATTTCACGAGTGATAGCACGACAGACAACGTTGAGTGAAATTAATCAGTTTCCTTGGGTGAGTGTGTACATTTTTTTTGATGAAGTAATTTATTTTTATTGATATATTTATTTATTTTTATATCAGAGGTTTGTCCCATATTGCTTGAAGGCGATTGACTAATCCATTGGCACACAGATTTGCTACTGTTGCATCCTTCACCAATTGCAACTCGAAATTCTGGCATGACATGGGCCTTAATACGGACATCGCCTCCGAGAGCCTACTCCGAGCTGCACATTAACCTCAAAGTGCTTATAAGTACATTGTGATGCTCTGTTGAATTCATCAGAAAAAAAAGAGAATCCAAATAATTTGATATATAGGCAGCAGATGCCCCAAACCCGCAGCTATTATGAAATTCCAACAATGCTATTTACATTCAATCGACATCCATTTTCTTGCACGTTGGCTGTAAATTGTAACGCTATACCTTTGAATTTTTTGGCCTTCTGCCAGCCAGCCGAGACTCGGGTGGTCACGCGCCTGCAATCCAAGCTACATGTTTACAACACCATGGCAACAAACAGCTGATTATTAAATTGAGGGATCGTCGAAAAACCGTGCGCCTGCCGAGAACAATGCATTGTATCCTGGAGTAATAAAACAGATGATCA